ATATGTTATATTATATAATCAGTTAAAAGGCTCATCATATGAGTGGAGTGAGTATGGTAGCAAAACAATGACGGAGGACTCTTCAAGTAGCTCCACATTAATCCCTTATGATTCAGTTTTGTAGAAAGAAAAAAATAGGAATTTAAACTTTTTGTTTTGAACATACTGTACAAACACGTTAGCTAAATGTACCCAATAGCATATACCAGCTCCCTGTTAGAAGTCGGTTTTGGCTGTACCCCAATAATGTTGCAATATTTTCATATAGAGTACACGGCTGTTGATGGACAAAGCTTCACGGGTCGCAGGTTTCTGTCGCTCTCACACTGCTCGGTTTGCACAGGCCATGTCTTGCCTTGTTTTTCAGTTTGACTGTTATCTGATTATGTTTGGCTTTCATCCATGTGTGGATAAAACAACCACTGTGACTCTTCCCTGCTGAGGGAATATTGGACTGTGGATCCATGTTTCACCCCACGGGCTACAAAAGCGACAACAAATGAACATGTAGCAAAGGAGAGCCCAGCAAACTTTAAGCATTTTAAGTGTGAATTAACTTTCAATGGGTCACCTTGAAGCTATAGTCTCTCTTCAGTGCTTTAAACCGAGCTTCTCCTATTCTTTTGGGATCCCAAACGTGTTTTTGAGAACCCATTTGTCCAGCTTCCTAGAGAACACCTGAGCACACAACATGAGAGCCGAGGGCTTTATCTGTTAACACTAGCAATTTGAAGCGGCATTATCCTGCTCATTATGTGCCCGCTTATCAAACATATTAATCGGTTCACAAAAGATATCAGTTTTAATGATTTTATAACAAGCTCAAGTAAATTAAGAGCATCTGGGGAAAAGGACTTTCACAGAATTAAAACCACTAACACACCAGAGGCTATCCAAAACGTTTTTTTATAATGTATCGTTTTTCACAATATTACTCTAAAAGCCACATTTGAATTGTTGTGCATAGGAAATGTGTCCTTTTACTAGTCCTATTACGGCAGGCACAGCTCTATTAACAATTTGAATGGATGACAGGCTTCAGGAATGTGCTGCGAGGACACCAGCACCGAGACACTGAAGCAGAGCGATATAAAAAGTGAAATGTTTGCTGAAAGCCACAGGCGTCATAAGACCTAAGCACAAGGCACAGCTTGAAACAGAAAACTAGATTGTTCCAAAAAAACTAGATTATTGCTACATTAGCGGGTTGAACTCACCATGAAATCCCTACAGGCCTATACATGCAACACGTAGCAAGTGAAGTTTTAACCTTTAAATGTATTCTAAGATAAAGGAACAGATGGGTACAATAGTCTTTAAATTAGTAACTTTAGACACGGAGATCAACTGGACGGTATTCTAATTAAGTTTGATGGTTTACCAGATAATTTTGGGTTAATTTTAAATGTTATTTTGCTGTCAGGAGAGATGGCTCACTTTCCAAAGGATCAATGGTAACCTATTGCCTGCCTAACCTGCCTCCAGTCACACAAGGTGATAGAGATCAAAGTATAGGGAAAGCATGCTTTTTAACCAATCAATGCTTTAGAAAAACTTCATAACTCCCTCAGGACTTATATTGATGAAGGCTCTACATTCACATTAAAGTGACAAGAAGCCGAGCAGTGTGCATTGTGAAATACAGCATGAGTATCACTTTGCTTTCCATGATAATTCATCAGCGTTGTAATAAATGTCAGGTGAACAGGCCCACTCTTCCTATAAAACATACTTCAAACAAATAGCAGACACTTGACCACAGCAGGTCATAATTGTACTTACGTTTTCATATTTTTCTCCACAGTGATTGGTTTACTGAAGATTGATTATACACACTGTGACCTACTGTACTGATGGTCAGTAATAAAGAGGAAAAATAAAATGTGGGTTATTTTCATGGCGAAGTCACCTTTGGATCCTGAAACCTTTCAAAGTTCTATTAGCCCGACGTTGTGATTCTGACATCTCTGTCTTGATTTTCATATCTTGCTTTGAGGATGTAACTAAACCTTTTGGGAGGGTAACAATCCCATGCAGCATTAACAGATTGAATTATTGATACTCCTGCGAAGGCTATTCCAGCAGTTCCAGCAGCCGGAGAAACAATATAATTCAGCTGGGTGAAAGATGAGCACATTAAAACAGACAGTATTTAAAATATATAGCGTCACTGATGCAGAAATAGAGAGTAACTGCACATCAGGTAAATGTGTTTGTTTTCCTTTGGAGGACAAGGAAAAAGATGGTCCTCTTTAGATAACTTTAAATTCCTTTACAGCTGAAATAATTATTTATTGATACATATTCATGGTCATCGGGATGTCAGTTAAGATTTCTTGTTCTGCTGGCCTGTCTTGTTTATTTATCTTTACCCCTTCCTGCATCTCCTGCTTGACATTTCTCCTTATCTTGACTGTACAGTATTTGACAGACCTGAGCTTTGCTTTTTCTCCTTCCTGTTGTCTTCTTTTTTTTTAACTCTTCTGTGCCTCTTGTATTCTGTGCTGCCTTGTGCTTTTATATTTCACGACTAGTGTTGCCACGATATATATCACAAATGTCATTTTTATGTTCCTATTTTTATGAGACAACTACAAGATTTGCCATGTAGGTAACTCTAACTCATTTACATTTTTATCGTTCATAAATGGCCATTGACTGTAATTAACAAGCTTATAAATTCTAATGAATCCTTAATAAATATGCAATTCTTCTATAGCAGACAACACTAATTTCCTGGCAGTTTATCTTTGTTTTTTAGAGTGAAAATACGTCGAAATAAGAGCAGTTTTAAAACAACCAACCTAGAGACTAAATCATTTTGAAATATATTCATAATCCCACCCTGAAAAGTGTTCTGTGCAGTCAGCTCCCTCTGTTTCATTCGCCACATGAGGGCAAATCAATTTGAACTTCATGTAGAGCTCATTTGGAAAAGTATAATTTAGACACCATCCACCATTTGTTTTAAGCCCGCTTTTTCACATTGTAATGCTCACACTTACTTATAAGGTGTAAATATTATTCTCCAGCATGCTTTTGAACTAACCCATTGCCTCAGGCACAACATTCCTCTGCTTGCCACTGAGCTGACACTCTCCTTGAGAGAAAAGTTGTCCTCGTGAGTATGAATGACTCGCCTGCACCCACCTGTAAAACCTCAAAACAACCGACGCGTTGTTTCTGTGCACTGCACGATTAAGAGCTCATTTAGATACTCATGCAATGTTCTCCTTTGTTTCTTTATTGTATTTGTGTTATTAGTCTGTCTTGCTAATTCAAGTCAAAGTTTGGTTTTGGTCTGAGCCTCTAAATAACAAGATATTTTACGGCTGCATCGCATTCTGGCCTGGAGGAGCTTTTCTATCACTGTCTTTGCCTCCCTTAAGATTTGTTCTACCTGTAAGAGTGTTGAATTGCATTTGAAAAAACTCAGCTACGGCCTTGATACATTGCTCTTCAGTTGTGAAACTTGTTAACTCTGGAGGCTAATGTGCTGTACCCCGTTTTCTGTTCCAAATACTACATCTATCACCAAGTTTAACATAAAAGGGGTATGAGTGATTCTGTAATGTGGCTGTAATTGTTGCTTCAAATGACCTCTATTTAGACTTGAACTGGTCCCTTTTATTGCATATGTTTATATATAGAGGACTTTTGAAGATACATAATGTTGGCCAAAGTCTGGCACAACTTTAATAAACAGATAAACACATAGAGGACAAAACAAACATAATATCAGAGACACAAGGACGATGGAGGAACGACGCAGAAAGACAAAGCACTGATGATGCAGTATTGATCTTAATTGGATTTAAAGGCCAAGGATAAGAGATGGGTTTTCAACATATATCAAAAAGTGTCAATGGGGGGAGCCGACTGATGTGGAGGGATAAACTGTTCCATAGGATAATGCCGCCCAATACTGTGGGTCTAAAATAACGCAGAGTCAAAGAGATGGCTTTCTTTCCACAGCATTACACACATATCTACAGTCACAAACATTTCAGATTGTTAACATCAAAATAAATCCATTAAGGAGTGTCAGCTGTAATTATAGGACACTTCTCAGAAAAATAAGGTTTATTATGGGGGTGTGGCTGAACTGTTACAAAGCCTGATGAATGGCACTCGGCATCTGTTGTAGACACACACAGGCAACCACACTACATTCATGTATATGACATTTCAGTCAAGTGAATAGGCTTTTATAAGCTTGAATATAATTTGATCAAATGTATAAAATCCCTGATTATCCCTCACAAAATACTGTAATCAATTTAAATTGAAATATATTTTCTCTCACCTCCGTTTTAAATCTTCTTCAAAGAAGAGTTGATTGTTTAAAGTTTTCAGCCCTTGTTTTTCTTGCATTTCTTTATTGGCTCACAATTACTACTGTGGAAATCAAATAAAGGTTTGGAAGTATAGCTTTAATAGCCTTGAGGTAATTTATTGAGTGAGAATTGCAGGATCAAGCGCATCCCTGCAAAAAAAACCTATTTAGTTTAGCTTCTAAACTATTCAGCGTTTAAGGAACTTTTGCATCACCTCTTCATTCATTAATTTTCTCCAACCTCATAAAAGACCAATTGTGTGCTCTTAAGATTATGTTGTTGTGGCATATCTTAAGTAGAATTTAAGGTTGATTTAGAGGTACATTTTCTAAAACGCAAATGTAAAAATGGACGCAGCTGCACTAGAAGGAAGCATGCCTTTTAATAGTGTGTGAGAAACAGTGAAGAAGGGCCCTCACATGAAAAAGCCTTTTTTGATGACCTGTCAAAGACGGCAGCTCATAGTTTGGAGGCATAAATCCTCTGCTCCTTTTCATGTATCATGCGTGTGCCCTTGGTTACCTTAGTAACTCTCCTCTCCATCTCCAATCGGCGCTCCCGAATGCTCAGCCGAGAACGCGCCGCGCGCTCCCGCGAAGCTCGTGTTGAGCCTGAGAGTCCAGGCAAAAGCATCAAAACGCACCAGGACTAGAAGGAGAGCTTTCCGCTGAAAAAAAACAACAACAACACGGGACAAATGCAGTGAAATAAGATTGGAGTGAGGATATTGAAAGACGGTACCGCTTCACAGGAAGGTCATTCCCTGAAAAAGCTAAGCAGTGCGCAGACTGTACGGATATTTGGAGTATACCCGACTGCAAGTGAAGAAGACCCCGAAGCTGTGGAACATTGTCCCGGCTTTTTATTTTCAGAAAAGCAAGGCATGGGGGGATCCACATCTCGACAAGGCAGGTGAGTCATTTTATGATACTACTTGATGAGCATTTGGGGGTAAAAACCTGAAGGCTGCGTGCGTAGTGAGAGAGTTAGATGCAGGGGCACCGGGATACTTGGATTACAATTATACCAGTTTTGTTTTTAATTATTACTTAAATATGATAACAGGTATTTTTGTTTTAAGCTACATCGACGAAGCGCAGTACACCGGCACAAGGCACGTACACTTCCAAAACGCATTTGGATTTGTGTGACTTGAACGGACTAAACCGAGGCTCATTAGAGGCAGAAATGTGGGTGCTGGGTAACTGTGTGTCTTTTACCCACTCTGCCATACGTAAGATGTGCAAACACCGCGCTGCACACGTTAATGCAGGGAGTAAAACACATGCGATAATTGATCAGAGCACTTGTTACTTGGGCATGAAGATATCTTGTGTGCGTGATGGAGCAGTGACGCGCAGCCAGGCTCTCTCTCCTTCCCTCTCATTGCTCTCCCTTTTAACGCAAATGAAATAGCCCGGTGACTTGCTTTAGGCAATTTAAAATGTAAGCTCTAAAGTTTAGGGGGAATCAAACGAAGAAGTACTGAATCAAATCGCCCAGGATGACATCAGATCTAAAGATGTTTGTTTGTATAACGCGAGTGCGATCTGGCACTAATTTGCAGCAGGCTACCTCCATCTGTTGTGGTGATGGAGCAGGATGGTCTGCCACAAGCGTACCTGGGGGTCCCGATTTTCCAATTATTATTTTTTAAGTTTAGCTAATGAGTTGTATATTTAGTATTTTTCTAGCAGCTATAATGATAGTGCACACTTCTGTCTAATTTAGAGTGACAAAAAGAGTGTAGCCTACATATGATCTTTTATTAATTATGTGCATATTTCCATGCCTATACTGATCACTGTAATTATTTCTGAGGCTGCAGCATAAATGTAGGCCCTCTTCATCATTGATCTTGAGTTGTGTTATGTCTGCTACATTCTAGTGAGTAGCCTTACTTTGCCATCTTTATAATTCCCATGACAGCTGTAAAAAACACATGCACACACTGCTTGTGTAAAAACGGAGTATACATTTAAAGCATTATGATGATCCTGTTGCAGGCCCCCATGTGCCTTCTTCAAATCTTAGAATTCCTGACACATGGGAAAATAAGTGTTGTAGTCAATAGAAGAGAGAATAATTAACTGAGAGTTGAATCCCAAAAAATTGAAAGAGGGAGCGAAAATAACCCATGACCAAGAGTTGTCATGGTGATTGGTTAAGTACGCTATGTGTCCCTGCGTTTGGGAAATGATCCAGTTTTTTTTATTTGGCATGCACACCACACTATTGATGAAAGAAGCTCTTAATGGGCGATAATAACTCAGACTCATTGAATTCATATTTTGTTGTTGCACGCATTTAAGAACCACCCTATGAAATTTGATTAGCACTCTTTGGAATTTGATTTGCAAGCAAATTGCGTTCATTTATATTGTATGTGTGCCTTCAGTATCATGTGAAGGATTATGCATGCTGCTGCTGCTGTGGCTGCTGCTTGTGAATTCTCTCTCTGGCCTTTCAGAGTTTGTATTCCAGTCCAGCAAAGTGCTATTCTTCAAGTGCCCTGCTGTTTTATTATCCATTCCTATACTCTTTGCTTAAACAAAATCTGGGTTTGTGCTTGTGACAATCATGGCAGCTAAAAACCGAGCTTTGTGTTTCAGCTGTTGGAGTATAATTACCGAGCTGCTTGCTGAATGTGTTCATTAGCTGGACATTTTGGACCTAGATCCACAGAGAGGTGGTCAACACGTGATCACTGACAAGCCCAAACACTCGAACACACAACATTTCAAAGTGCAGCACGAGTCTATTGTTTATCCTGTGAGTCTCAGAACTGCTCAAGAAAAGCTCAATGAGACTCCCTGTCTGCTGCAAAGGTCAGCGAGGCTTCGTTCTGACCTAAAGTGAATACACCTGAGTACACCTTTGCCTGACTTAACATGGATGAGCCGCTCATTGGCCCAAGAGGCCTCTTGTTCTTAGCCTTGAGTTTCTTTCCCCGTATTTTCTCGTTATTGCTCTCACACCCAGACGCTTGGATGGAAGGTGTGCTAGCGCTTGTGCGTGTTGGAGCGTGTGTGCAAGCGCGTGTGTGCAAGCGTGTGTGCAAGCGTGTGTGCAAGCGCGTGTGTGCAAGCGTGTGTGTGTGCAAGCGTGTGTGCGTGCGAGCGTGTGTGCGTGCGAGCGTGTGTGCTCCTGTGTGTATATGCAGAGGTGTGTTGTTGCACATATGAGAAAGACTGAGGAAGGTTATTTGTGTTTTCTAATATTCTTCATTGTGTTTGACGTGTTGTCTTGGAGCAGCAGGAGCAGGAGTTGAATAATTTCCCAAATGGATACCTTTTGACCTTCTGAAAATATGTCCTATCGCTGCCTATCCCACACCGCAAGAAAAGCCTGTCATTGTTCTAGCACTATTTTCCCTACTTGGCAATGTCATACACACACAAAAAAAGACAGTTGTGGAATATTTGTATTTAATGCATATAGATTTAGTCTACATTACCAAGCAAACGAGATTCAGAATTGCATGGCCTTGATGGCGGATGGTCACTATAAAAATGTCATATAATACAAACATATACAGAGTGCCTTTCATCTATCTTTCTTTCTCTTTGTGCAAGAGTAGGGATAAGCACTTAAATCATAAATGATTTAAAGTACTTCTGTTTTCTTATTCGGCTAAACAATGGCTCTAAAAACTGTCAGGGGTTAAAGCAACAAAGTCATTTAAATCAAAGTCAAATTGTATCATGGCGTGGCAGCTAAGCTCTCTCAGAATCTGGCTATCCACAGATATGCGGTGACTAATGAAGGAGGATAAACTTGTCTCTTCATATTTGCTCAGGAGGATGAGCTTTCATCGTCATTAAATCACACGTTTTGTCACGAAATTACCGAAAAACACCCTGATTGTTTTCTTAAAGTATTACTTGAAACCAGCGACATCCACTCGATACACTTGTGTCATATTCGTTTTAATAATGAATAAGATGAATTTGTTAAATCTGTGAAAAGATGAAGGAGTCTTTGTTTGACTAACAAAATGGTTTTGGCCTGAGGCACAAAGATACGCCTCAAGTCTACTGCACATAACATATTTAACAGAGATTTTACATTGTTCATGGCCCAACAACATCTCCCCTGACTAACAGGTTTCCCTGCCAAAGACCAATGTCTGCTTAGTAAACAGGATTCTTTTGGACATCACCATTCTAACTACAAAGCAGATGTCACACAGTATGTCTCCACTCACTGTCTGCCAGAAGTTATCTATTCATTATTTATTTATTCATTATAAAATTCACACTCAATAATCACAGACAGAGGACAGAGCCTGCTGAGTAAAAATCATGGACCTAATCGAATAAGCGGCAGAAGTGAGGAGCTATTTTCGATTGTTTTCCTTTTGTTAAAGGAGACTTTTAAAAAATGCATCACATGGAGAGAGGCAGGGAGAGGAGGGGGCGGGAGGCTGCGATGATAGGGAGAGCGGCTCTCGGATGCAAATCTGTACTTTAAACTTACATAAGCTTAGCTTGGGATGAAGCTCAGTTCATTTCATTCATGTGGAACATGCGAACAACATGAATGACCTTTCTTAACTCGGGTGTACAGGATTCAATCCTGTGAAGCAGTGCATGCAAGTTTGTTTACATCCCATTGATTTTACTTTGTCAAAGTGTCACACTTTCTTCCAGACTAGGACTATGATTTGCACAGTCTACTTGCACATGTGATATGACATGACACAACAAATAACTCTCAAATGTGTGTATAGATTTCTGAAGCCCCACACTTTTTGTCCTCTAAAAGTCCACATCTGCAGCTTGCCAGCTCATTTGAATTTTAAATGATCTGTCAAAGAGAATTTAAGGCAAGTCTGAGAGGAACAAAGACGCAGTCACTCTGTCCTTACTGTACTTTGTGGCTGACAGGGTGAAACCCTGCCTGTTTGTTTTAAAAAAGTCTACCTTAATCCATATGAATCAAATTGCATTTTATTCCTCTTAATCCACCCTGAGATTAGACAGACAAGTGACAGGGAATCAACATTTTTAAATCCCTGGGATGAATGTTACTGTCCAGGTAAAGTTGATGTGGCAGAGTGTGCCCCCCCTGTCAATTCCCTGGTTTCTTATCCAATAAAGTAATCGCTAAGCCCCTTTCTCTCCTAATTTTTCTTAACATAAGTGAGTACTGTGTGGGTCTGGCAGGACACAGAAGCAAGGGCCCGTCTAATTCATGGGGTAAATTAGTGAAGATAAGGCCTGAGTCAGTACCTCCAGCTTCCCATAGATCCCCCTGGGGCCGGCTCTTAAGGAGCTTAGTAAAAGCCTGTCGTATGAAGACATGACATGGAGCTGGCTAAATGGGCTACGTTGGAGTGTCTTCCATCAACCTAATATTCATATATGGGTCACTGTCGTTCAAGCTTTAATCCCATTCAATGTATTCATTCTTGGTTATTAATTCAGAGTTTTAGGAAAATAAGGCACTATGTATAAGAAAGGTAAAATAGGCTGTATTAGTGAGGCTCAAATGCATATGCGCACCAAACTGACAGAACACTTAGGCCCACTCATAAGACCGTGTTGTGTAACAGTCTGTGCCACCAAATCAATAATGAATGCTGGTTTAACCGTAGTAAAAGAACAAGTAAGAACTCCTCCAGAGTCACTGGGTCACATACACTGGGGAAACAATTAGAGGCTTCCTCGCGCATCGCACTGCCGCAGCTTGTTTTTTTCTTTCTTTTTTCAGCAGCATGCATTTCCCTTAAATGTTCTCTAGGGTCCAGCAGCATGGCAGTATGGCTGCTGAAGAATTACAGACACTGGTCTGTCGGGGAGTCTTTCCCAGCCTGAGCTACAGAAAAAAAGGCAGTGTCAGGTCCCTGTGATGTATGTGGGGCCACGTGAAGTGGAAAGCATGGTGACTGATAGGACACCAGTCGCGTG